GCTCGGACCTAGCTGACTGCTCTTCCCAGCAGATGTCTGTGCAGTGATGATGCAGTGATGATGCACTCTGAGTATGGGGAGCTGTTTCATATTTCCTTTGGCCTCTTTTGGAACATGGATCTGAGTGACAGTAGCAGGAGGGACACCCTGAGCCAGTTTTTCAGCTGCACTTGGATGCAGTTGCAGAAGACAAAATGATTATAACCTGGCTGATGCTGTGATTGGTCATGATCTGGTTTGGACCTAGCACAACTTAGAACAGCTTTTTAGGATTCCCCCGCATGTCCTGATAGTTCAGCCTGCAAGGAGTTAAAGGGGCCCACAGAAGCACTGATTGCTACTAGACCTCCAAGTCAAGACTTATGCATCCTGCCCTGGGTTCCCCCATGATTTTATTTCCTCTTTTCATTTAATTCCACAGTTTCCAAAGAAGTTCCCTTGCATCCATCTGCTCTCTCTGTCCCTGACCTGATGAAACCTTTCATGAACCATAGAGCCACCCCCATGAAGAAGGAACAACCTAAAGAGAAACCAGGTCAGTCCATTTCATGCGCAAGTGTGACAACACACCCATGGTAGGTGAAGGGGACCAGCCAGAGTTGTCATGTTGCCCTGCCAGTTAAATGGTTGTCTAACATGTGTTTAATGATTCATATGCCTTAAAGCTGCTACCTTCAGTTTAAGCAAGACAGGCAGAAAAATGTTTGGTCTGTGCATTGTGAGCGCTGTCCAAAAGGCAGCGTTGTCTAGTGCTGCAAGCATCTCTTTCAGGCTATCATGGCCAGTGTGCGCTATGTAACAGCCATTAAAATGCAAGTGACTTTTCAGCTCCTGATACCTCTCTGAAGAAAAGAAAGCCTCGCTCCCTTCTGCCTGTCAGCACCTGTCTGGATCATAGATCAAAGGATGAATTGCACCAGGACTGCTTGATGCTGGCTACGTGTCTGAATGCCAAAGGTACCAGAAACGTGCTTTGGCTGCAGCTTTCTCCTGCTGCCCAACAAGGGCACCCCTCTCTGAATATTTCAGTTCAGACTTTCAGGAATGGCTGCTGGACCCTTGTTGTGAAACACCTGAACATGGATCTGGGGGTGGGACTTGAGGCATTCGTTAATGAAAGTAGTGGCCTGTGTCTAAGATTGGTAGCTAAAATCTGGTTTATACTTTCCACAACCCCTCCCCTCATCACCACACTGCCAGCTGTTTAAGGCAAAGGAACTGAAACACCTTGCCAGTACTAAACCCGTTCTGACTAGGAGCCTAAATTGTCCAAGGCAGGGAAGCAGCTGCCTTTGTGTTTGCATTTCAGGTCTTATGTGTAGCAGAGCACAATGAATCTGCAAATCCAAGCATGCATCTGGTTCATAGCAATGGATGAGTGCTAAGTCAGAACTGTGGTTTGAGAATCTGGGCAGGAAAGGAGACTGCTGTATTCCCATGGTAGTCTTCCTTAGACATGGGGGTACAGAGAAAAGTGCTCGGTACATTCTGCTTTTGCATAGATGTTCTTATCATAGCATCTTGCTCTAGCCTGGTGATCAGACAGAGAAGTGATACTGTGAGGGTCTATTTAGATCTAGTGTATGGGCTGGGAGCAGAGGCTGTCAGCTCTTAAGTAAACTGTAACTGTACAATGGATTTGCAGGCTTCTTTCATTTCTCCCCTACATGCTGCTGTCAAACCAGCCTTTTCTGTCTCTTCTCTTTAGGAAATCTGGGGAAAGACTTGATTCCTGACTCAGATCATGTCCACCTGGGGCTGTTTGCAGACAGAGCTGCTCTGTATAAGATGCTGGAGGTGGAAGGTAAGTGGAGCAGTGGCTCAGTCCTGATGACATATCTGCTTTCTTTATCCTCCATCCAAGAAAAACAAATGGGGAGAGATGTAGGAGTCTAGTTTGTGAGCTTAATGCATATTAAAGTGAGCTGTTGAGAGGGCTGGCTGGAGCCAGGGGTGGTGCATGAAAGGAGATGTCCAGCTTGAGTCTTTTGAGCTGACAGTGCTCTCAGTCACTGGCCTGCAGCACACTGCTTTATTCCTGCTTGAGTTTGCTCTTGGCTGGGCATTTTACCTTGGGGTACATGGTTACTGCAGTTGCACTGGCACCTAACCAGGAGGCTCGTTTGTTACAAACAGGAAGAAACCACTTGGAGAATGGGCACCCAGAGTTGTTTCA